TTTTCAAAATTTTACCGATAAAAGTGGTCACTGTGGCCAGAGCCGAGGTCAACTGACCATACAAAGTATATCATAAGAATTCCTATAGAGTGTACTTTCATTCTATCACAATAATTCCAAATTGCAAGCGGTCCCGCAAATGCGCAAACTCCTTTATGCCACATTTCTATTTGTGACACTTATATCGAGAGTCGTTTGTATTACGTTTGCATTACAATTGTCTGCACTCAACGGCCATAACATGAGTACAGTTTGCGTTCATTTCCTGTAGAAATGTTTTTCAATAGGTTTTCACAATACAGTCGACACACGTTTTGATTTTGCATTTATTGTCATTTATTAAAGCATTGTTTTTGACATTTGTTTTGATTTTGAAAACAATTTTTAAATTCAATTTCAGTCAAACATTTCGTACAATCACTTCATTTGATCCAAAGATATGGCACAAGAGGTGAAACAAATGATGGCATCACTCGAGATCACAGATGACTGCGAAAGAGATCAGAGAAAAAAGGTTTTTGACAATCATTTGTATATTTATTGAGTTTTAATTATTTTTATTCATTTTAGACACAGATATACGCGAAGAACTCAATGGACAGATTCGGTGATGACATGTGTTCACTCATATTATCCTATCTCTCACTCGAAGATCGATTTCGATGGGAATGTGTTTCCAAACAGTTCCAGAGGACAGTCTTCGGGAGTGTTGTGGACATCACTCTTAACGTGCGATTCATACGGAGATTACTGAATGCGAAGAGAAGTGACGTTCAATTGTTGGCCACAATTGCCATAAAGTGTCCGAAGATTGAGACCATTGACTGTCGAAGAATAGACACTGAATACGAGAGTCGTATTCCCGAAATGTTGTACTTATTTCGTGACTATTGCCGACATTTGCGGGAAATTTACTGCGATTTGTGGGAAAACAATGAACAAAGTATGCGTTCATTGGCGCCACTCATCACCCGAATCGGTGGTAACGTTAATGCATTGCCAGACAGACAATGGCTGACTCTGTTCTACCGATTGTCACACTTGAGGGCCGACTCTATTTACCACGTCTTTGACAAATCCTACGCCAAACTGTTGGCCAAGAATTTGCGCAAATGTGTGCTATTATCGCATTCACAACACTATAACCAATACTTGTCTGCATTTGTGGCACAGAATCAGTGCCTCCAGAGTCTGGCCGTAAAGAATTGTCTCTTTGTTTCTCAAGAATATGTGCGCGAAATGTGCGGCCATTTGTCACGATTACCGCAATTACGGGAACTGACACTTCGGTTGACTTTGCATTTAAAAGACGACAACAATACCTCATTATTGAACGACTCGTTGGCAACAATTGGTGTGAATTGCAAACAATTGAAACGATTGTCACTCGAGTGGTCGTCAATGCCTAACGAACCGCTATTTACTGTTATATTGGATTCGTTGCGTGTCTTTCGGCAAATCAAACGCTTCCGTTTGGAGACCGATGCGGCCATCGATGACCACCTGTTGGAACCGCTCACTCACTGCAAGACATTAACGCAATTAGAGTTGGATTTACAGCGAATGACACCAAATGTGTTAACAGATTTGCATCAATACTGTCCACGACTTCGATACCTATTTATTCGTCATTTCAATAACACGATAGACGCCGAGTGTTTGTCACACATCTCAAGACTACCGGCGCTGCAAATGCTTGTCATTCACTGCCGTCGAAACACTCGTTTTAATGATAATGATTTCGAGGATCTGTTGTCTTCGAGTCCTAAACTCAAGACAATTGAAATCCGTGTAAACAATGAGAAGAAGTTTTATTCAAAGTAAAAATAATTGAATCAATTTTTCACTTTCAATATTCAGTACATTATTTCTCCGAATATTTAATTACTTTCAATTGTTTTCATTTTATTTCACTTTTAATTACAATTTATTCTACAATTTAATTGTTTTCAATTCAATTCATTTGTAAACATAATTAAAAACTTATGTTGTGTTTAATTTCCATACGATTTAATTCTATGTACTTTATATCAGACAACATTTGTATTCAATTTAATACTAAACTAACAATTAATAAAACTTTAATTTTAATTTACAAAATAAATAATAAATTTATTGTACAATTATTTCGTTTCAATCAATCACTGATTGTGTGCCACGAATGCTGACAATCAATGTTCATCTGAATTGTTTCAATAAAAATTTAACTCAAAGTTCTGTAAATTCTTTGCCATTAGTTTTCCCGAAGAGATGTCAAAGACTTGATCCAAAGAATAGGCTCTCAATTGTGACAATCGGTGGTAATGATTGAGTGATAGCCTATCACTGATAGGCACCAACGCAGCCGTAAATATCGCCGATTCGTGTGACCAGTGGTGCCAAAGAACGGATCCATTGATCGCTATTTCGCCATAAATTGCAGTAAATTTGCCGCAAATGAAGACATTTGTATCGAAATGAGTGCAAAACTGTATAATATAGTGGCAATCAATATACAAATATTGTTTTCAAATCTAAACAAATGATTAAAACGTTAATAAAAGTTACAATTAGTTTGAAATTATAACGAGTGTTGACTGTATTGTAATAACGCGCGCAAAAAGTTCATAAATATTTTCACAACAAATGTATACAAACTGTACTCTTATTATACGGACTGTTATATCGTTTTGTTATACAATTTGTGTTCACTTTTTGTAGAAAACATTCCAATAATTCAAACAGAAGTCTATATTCGAGACGTAATTAGTGTTGGAATTGAAAAGTGAATCAAAAAGTGATTGACTTTTGTATGGGATTTGAAATTTAATTTTGAATCAAACGTTTCGGTCATTCACTTCAATTGATCCCAAGATATGGCCCAACAGTTGACACAAACGATGGCATCACTCGAGACCACAGATGGCTGTGAAGACAGACAACAGGTATTTGTTAAGCAATCGACTGTTTACTGAATTTTTATTGTTTTTGTCTCACATTTTAGCCAAACATTTACGCGAAGAACTCAATGGACAGATTCGGTGATGATTTGTGTGCACTTCTGTTGTCTTACCTTTCATTTGAAGATCGGTTTCTATTGGAATGTGTGTCCAAACAGTTCCGGAGGACTGTCTTCGAGAGTGTTGTCTACATTGATATCAACGACAGATTTATGCGACAAATACTTAAAACAAGAATCACTGAAACGTTGGCCACAATTGCCATAAAGTGTCCAAATATTCAGACCATTGACTGCCGAGAAATGATATTTTTAGAGAACAGACCACACATTCTCGAAATGTTGACTATATTTAGAGACAATTGTCTTAATTTGCGTGAAATTTATTGCGATTTATTGCGTAATTGTGAGCAAACAATGCCTACAATCGGACCACTGATCACACGAATCAATGTTTACAGCTTTTATACAGACACTCAATCACTCACTCAATGCCACCGATTGTCTCATTTGAGTGTCACTTGTTTGGGTCAAGTCTTTGACACTTCTGGACAACTAATGGCTAAGAATTTGAATACATTTAGGTTGTGGTCCTATTCTGACGTCGATTACCACCGATTGTCTGCATTTGCGGCGCAGAATCAGTCACTCAAATATCTTAACGTTAATAACATATGTGTATCTGAAGAGACACTGACCGGACTGTCGGTACAGTTGTCACGATTAACACAATTACGGCGATTGAAGCTATGGTTTGTGAGAACAAGCGATCAAATCTCAGTGACCGACTCTTTGCGCACAATTGGTGTGAATTGCAAACAATTGCATCGATTGTCACTTCTTTTCCCGCACATCGATAGCCATGCATTCAATGGCAAGACATTAGATTCGTTACGATATTATCAGCGATTAAAACGATTAAAGATAAGCATATATGAGACCGTCGATGAGATAGTGTTGGATCCGTTGCGACACTGCAAGCAATTAACGCATTTAGAGCTCTGTATTACAAAAATGACAGCAAATGTGTTGAGAGATTTGCACATAAAGTGTCCGCGACTTCAATACCTAATCATTCGTGGCTTTCATAACAACGACACCGAGTGTTTGGATCGCATCTCAAGACTACCGGCGCTGCAAATGCTTGTCATTCACTACAATAAAGGCAACGATCTCTCGGATAATGATTTCAATGATCTGTTGTCCAGAAGTCCTAAACTAAAGACCATTAAAACAGTTAAATGCTATGACAACTTGAAATTTTATTGCCGTCAAAACAATTGATCCATTAATTGTTAATTAAATTCAATGTCTTTCTGTTCTTAACATTTAATTGTATTTCAATTACTAATGATTTCAAAATTTTGTTCAATTTATTTATAAAATAAAAATTTGATTCAATTATAAACACAAATATTTTTCTTAATCCAATTCGACGTCTCATTCATTCATTCATTTAACTTAAATATCAATTCGTTTGTAATAATAACGAGTGTTGACTGTAATAACTTGACAAAATTATTTGAATTGTTAATAAAATAGTTTTTCAAATAATTTTCACAACAAATGCATACAAACTGTACTCTTATTATACGGACTGTTATATAGATTTGTTATACAATTTGTGTTCACTTTTTGTAGAAAACATTCCAATAATTCAAACAGAAGTCTATATTCGAGACGTAATTAGTGTTGGAATTGAAAAGTGAATCAAAAAGTGATTGACTTTTGTCTCGGATTTGAAATTCAATTTTGAATCAAACGTTTCGTTCAATCATTCAATTGATCCCAAGATATGGCCCAACAGTTGACACAAACGATGGCATCACTCGAGACCACAGATGGCTGTGAAGACAGACAACAGGTATTTCACAAACAATTGACTGTTTATTGAGATTTAATTGTTTTTATCTTATATTTTAGCCACAAATATATGCGAAAGACTCTTTGGATCGATTCGGTGATGATTTGTGTGCACTTATAGTGTCTTATCTTTCACGCGATGACCGATTCCGGTGCGAATGTGTTTCCAAACAGTTCCAGAGGACAGTCTTCTTGACTGTTGTTGACATCACTCTTAGCGACCGATTTATGCAAAAATTACTGACAAATGCGAAGACAATTGACACCAAAATGTTGGCCACAATTGCCATAAAGTTTGCGAACATTCAAACCATTGATTGCCGAGGAATAGACTTTGAATATGAAGAGCACATTCCCGTAGTGTTGGCTATATTTCGAGACAATTGTCTTCATTTGCGTGAAATTCACTGCAATTTGTGGCAAAATAGCGGACAAACAATGCCTACAATCGGACCACTCGTCACACGAATCAATGTTATGGACAATAATATGGACACTCAATCACTCAGTCATTGCCACCGATTGTCTCATTTAAGTGTCCGTCATTTGAGTCAAGTCTTTGACACTTCCGGACAACTAATGGCAAAGAATTTGAATACATTTGAGTTATATTTCTATTCAAACGATGATTACCACCGATTGTCTGCATTTGTGGCACACAATCAGTCACTCAAATGTCTTTTCGTAAAATGTTGTAAACTTTTCACTCACGACACAATGACCGGACTGTCAGCACAATTGTCACGATTAACACAATTACGGGAACTGACACTCGGATGTGTTATAATGGGTATTCACCACTCATTGGATTCTTGGCGTACAATTGGTATTCATTGCCAACAATTGCAACGATTGGCACTCGATTGCTATAAATCCAATCTCAAGTCATTGGATTCGTTGCCATATTATCGGCGATTAAAACGATTGCGTTTACGGATATATGCGGACATCGATGAGATAGTGTTGGATCCGTTGAGACACTGCCAACGGTTAACACATTTAGACATATTTTTAGTGCCAATGCGTGCAAAAGCGGTGGAAATTGTCTCTAATAATTGTCCACAACTTCAGTATCTATACATTCATAGCCTTATGGACGCCGAGAGTTTGTCACACCTCTCAAGACTACCGGCGCTGCAAATGCTTGTCATTAAACCCAATGTATTCACTGATCTCTCGGACAATGATTTCTTGGATCTGTTGTCCAGAAGTCCTAAACTAAAGACCATTAAAATAATTCAATACAATTCCGCGACATTTTATTTTCATAACAAACCGTTCATTAATTAAATAATTTCAATTTGTTTACATTTAAATGTATTTTAATTACTATTTATTTCACAATTTTGTTCAATTTATTCATGAAATAAATAATATATTTTGTTAATTGTATTCACCGTTTATCTATTAATTTAACGTAAATAACAATTAGTTTGAAATAATAACGAGTGTTGACTGTATTATGAAAGCGCGCAAAAGTTATATTTAAAATATTTCACAATAAATGTATACAAACTGTACTCTTATTATACGGACTGTTATATAGTTTTGTATACAATTTGTGTTCACTTTTTGTAGAAAACATTCCAATAATTGAAACACAAGTCTATATTCGAGACGTAATTAGTGTTAGAATTGAAAAGTGAATCAAAAAGTGATTGACTTTTGTCTGGAAATTGAAATTCAATTTTGAATCAAACGTTTCGTTCAATCATTCAATTGATCCCAAGATATGGCCCAACAGTTGACACAAATGATGGCATCACTCGAGACCACAGATGACGGCGAAGACGAAGACAGACAACAGGTATTTGTTAAGCAATCGACTGATTATTGAAATATAATTGTGTTTTTAAAAACAAATATTTGTCTCACATTTTAGCCAAAGACTTCGGTGGACAGATTCGGTGATGATTTGTGTGCACTTCTGTTGTCTTACCTCTCATTCGAAGATCGGTTTCAATGCGAAAGTGTCTCCAAACAGTTCCAGAGGACTGTCTTCGAGAGTGTTGTTTGCATTGAAATCAACGACCGATTTATGCAACAAATTCTTAAAACAAGAATCACTGAAACGTTGGCCACAATTGCCATAAAGTGTCCGAACATTGAAACCATTGACTGTCGAAGAATGAGAGGACAATATTACGAACACATTCCCGAAGTGTTTAACATATTTCGAGACAATTGCCAACATTTGCGACACATTTACAGCAATTTATGGCAAAATAGCGGACAAACAATGCCTACAATCGGACCACTGGTCACACGAATCAATGTTATGGACCATAATATCGACACTCAATCACTCACTCATTGCCACCGATTGTCTCATTTAAGTATCTGTCGTATGAGTCAAGTCTTTGACACTTCCGGACAACTAATGGCAAAGAAATTGAATAAATTTGAATTATTTTCCTATTCAGCCGATGATTACCACCGATTGTCTGCATTTGTGTCACACAATGAGTCCCTCAAATGTCTTGGCTTTTATGAGAACAGGCGTTCATCTGAAGAGACACTGACCGGACTGTCGGCAGAGTTGTCACGATTAACAGCATTACGGCGATTGACACTCTGTATTGAAATACCGGTTGTTTACAACTTATTGGCCGACACTTTGTGCACAATTGGCGTTAATTGCAAACAATTAGAGCGATTGAAACTCGAGTTGTCGCACACCGATAGCCATGTATTCAATCGCAAGGCATTGGATTCGTTGCGATTTTATCACCGATTAAAACGTCTAGATTTACGCATAGCTGAGACCGACGATGAGATAGTGTTGGATCCGTTGAGACACTGCAAGAGATTAACGCATTTAGAGTTGCGTTTATATAAAATGACAGCAAATGTGTTGAAAGATTTGCACATTAATTGTCCGCGACTTCAATACCTATCCATTCATGACTGTCACGGCGTTATAGACACCGAGTGTTTGTCTCACATCTCAAGACTACCGGCGCTGCAAACGCTTGTCATTGAGTTCTCTTTCAATGTCTTTAATAATCTCTGGAATAATGATTTCAATGATCTGTTGTCGAGATGTCCTAAACTAAAGACCATTAAAACATATCAACCCTATTCATGGAAATATTATTGCCGTCAAAACAATTGATCCATTGATTGCTAATTAAATTCAATTTCTTTCTGTTCTTAACATTTAATTGTATTTCAATTACTAATTATTTCAAAATTTTGTTCAATTTATTCATATAATAAAAATTTGATTCAATTATAAACACAAATATTTTTGTTAATCCTATTCGACGTCTCATTCATTCATTTAACTTAAATACCAATTCGTTTGTAATAATAACGAGTGTTGACTGTATTGTAATAACGCGCGCAAAAAAGTTTATGAAATTCACAAATATTTTCACAACAAATGCATACAAAGTGTACTCTTATTATACGGACTGTTATATAGTTTTGTTATACAATTTGTGTTCACTTTTTGTAGAAAACATTCCAATAATTCAAACAGAAGTTTATATTCGAGACGTAATTAGTGTTGGAATTGAAAANCATAGAAAGTGTACTCTTATTATACGGACTGTTATATAGTTTTGTTATACAATTTGTGTTCACTTTTTGTAGAAAACATTTCAATAATTCAAACAGAAGTCTATATTCGAGACGTAATTAGTGTTGGAATTGAAAAGTGAATCAAAAAGTGATTGACTTTTGTCTGGAATTGAAAAGTGAATGAGATTTCAGTTATTTAGAAAACATTTCAATAATTCAAACAGAAGTCTATATTCGAGACGTAATTAGTGTTGGATTTGAAAAGTGAATCAAAAAGTGATTGACTTTTGTCTGGAATTGAAAAGTGAATGAGATTTCAGTTATTGTTTGGGTTTTCAATCAATTCATTCAAACAATCACTTCATTTGATCCCAAGATATGGCGCAACACATGAAACACACGAAGACAACACTCGAGACCACAGATGACGGCAATGAAGACATCAAACAACAGGTATTTCACAAACAATTGACTGTTTATTGAATATTAACTTTTTATCTCATATTTTAGCCACAAATCTACGCGAAGAACTCAATGGATCTATTCGGTGATGACTTGTGTGAACTTCTATTGTCTTATTTCACACTCGAAGACCGATTTCGTTACGAATGTGTGTCCAAACAGTTCCAGAGGAATGTTTTCGTGAGTGTTGTTGACATCACTCTTAGCGACCGATTTATGCAGAAATTACTGACAAATGCGGAAACAATTGACACCAAAATGTTGGCCACAATTGCTATAAAGTGTCCGAATATTCAAACCATTGACTGCCGAGGAATGAAGTCATACATAACACTCATTCCTAAAGCTATGAAAGTATTTCGAGACAATTGTCTTAATTTGCGGGACATTTACTGCAATTTATCGGGAATTAGTGGACAAACAATGCATACATTGTGGCCAATGATCACACGAATTGGTGACAACACATCATCTGAAGAGTATAGACAAGCGCTCACACGTTGCCACCGATTGTCTCATTTAGTAGTCCATCGGTTATACAATGTGTTCAAAAGCACTTCCGGACCGCTATTGGCCAAGAATTTGCATAAATGCCAATTGGATTACTATTCAGACGACGACAACGAGCTATTGTCTGCATTCGTGGCACACAATCAGTCGCTAAGAAGTGTTGACATAATGTATATCGAATACGAGACTAAAGAGTCTTTGATGAAAATGTGCGGACATTTGTCACGATTAACGCAATTACGGGAATTGAGACTCGGATTGGATGTTATGAATGACGACAACTCAGTGCACGACTTCTTGCGTACAATTGCTGTGAATTGTAAACAATTGAAACGATTGACACTAGAGTTGAACTTCCATCTGAACGAAACCAAAGTTCAGACATTGGATTCGTTGCAATATTACAGACAATTACAACGACTGGATTTGGGATTACACGCCATCGCCGATGAGATATCGTTGGATCCGTTGAGACACTGCCGACGGTTAACACATTTAGACATCTATTTTGTGCAAATGTCTGCAAAAGTGATGGAAATTGTAGTCAAATGTTGTCCACGACTTCAATACTTATGCGTTCATTACATGCAATGCTTTATAAGCGCAGAGTTTTTGAATCACATCTCAAGACTACCGGCGCTGCAAACGCTTGTCATTGAATGTCAGGGAATCACTCGTTTCAATGATAATGATTTGAATGCTGTGTTGTCTTCGAGTCCTAAACTCAAGACAATTGAAATCCGTGTAAACAATGAGAAGTTTTATTCAAAGCAAAAAATGGTTTAAATAATAAATATTGATTAAAATAATCAAATTAATTGTATTTTTGTCAATATTTTGAAGTTATATTCAATTCATAACTATTAATGAAAATGTGTCAAAATATATGTTTTGAGCCAATGTTTGATTATTTAAAATTCAAGTATAAGTTCTTAATAATTATTAATAATAATAATTTATTATAATTTGTTTTCAAAAAATATATTAAATTTTATATTACAATTAATCGTTAATTTCAATTAATTATTGAATTAATTAACCTCTAATTTCAGTTCATATTGTAATTCATTAATTATTTTCAATTAAAGTTTGTAAACATTATTTCAACGATTAATTAGTGTTTAATTCTCATGTCATGTAATATTGTCTATAAATTACATCGATGTCTAAAATATGTCTAAAATATGAGTAAAGTGTATCTCAAAAGTGTTTGTGTGAATTATGCCGACAATTGTCACGATTTACAGCAATTAATTTAATTGTTTTTATCATTCATTTTAGTCGCAAATCTATGCTAAATATTTTGAACAAACTTTTGCCCGTTTTATAACAATACAGTCAACACTCGTTATAACAATACAGTCAACACTCGTTATTATTACAACACTTATTGTTTATTTACGTCAAACTTATTAACGTTTTTATTGTTTATTTTGATTCGAAAACAATATTTAAATATAACTTTTGATCAAACGTTTCGTTCAATCAATTCATTTGATCTCAAGATATGGCCCAACAGTTGACACAAATGATGGCATCACTCGAGACCACAGATGGCTGTGAAGACAGACAACAGGTATTTGTTAAGCGATTCACTGTTTATTGAATTTTAATTGTTTTTGTCTTACATTTAGCCAAAGATTTACGCGAAGAACTCAATGGACAGATTCGGTGATGATTTGTGTCAACTTCTGTTGTCTTACCTGTCATTTGAAGATCGGTTTCAATGCGAAAGTGTGTCCAAACAGTTCCGGAGGACAGTCTTCGAGAGTGTTGTTTGCATTGAAATCAACGACCGATTTATGCGACAAATCCTGAAAACAACATTCACTGAAACGTTGGCCACAATTGCCATAAAGTGTTTGAAGATTGAGATCATTGACTGTCAGACAATAAGAGCTGAATATTACGAACTCATTCCCGAAGTGTTGGCCATATTTCGACACAATTGCCAACATTTGAGGGAAATTTACTGCAATTTTTGGCAAAATTGTGAGCAAACAATGCCTACAATCGGACCACTGGTCACACGAATCCGTGTTATCGACACTCAATCACTCATTCATTGCCACCGATTGTCTCATTTGAATGTCATTCGTTTGCGTAAAGTCTTCGACACTTCCGGAGAACTAATGGCAAAGAATTTAAATACATTTGTGTTATTTTTCTATTTAGCCGATGATTACCACCGATTGTCTGCATTTGTGGCACACAATCAGTGCCTCAAATGTCTTGACGTTATGTGCAAAATGCGTATATCTGAAGACCCACTGACCGGACTGTCGGCACAGTTGTCACGATTAACACAATTACGGCAATTGAGACTTGTGTTGAACATAACCGGCGCTCAAACCTCATTCACCGACTCTTTGCGCACAATTGGTGTGAATTGCAAACAATTGCAACGATTGTCACTTCAGTTGTCTCACACCGATAGCCATGGATTCGATCGCAAGACATTGGATTCGTTGCGATTTTATCACCGATTAAAACGATTAGATTTAAGATTATATGTGATCGTCGGTGAGATAGTATTGGATTCATTGAGTGATTGCAAGAGACTAAAGCATTTAGAGCTCTATATAATCAAAATGACAGCAAATGTGTTGAAAGATTTGCACATAAAGTGTCCGCGACTTCAATACCTATTCATTCATGACTTTAATAACATTATAGACACCGAGTGTTTGTCTCACATCTCAAGACTACCGGCGCTGCAAATGCTTGTCATCGAGAGTTGGGATGAAAGCACTAATCTCTCGGATATTGATTTCAATGATTTGTTGTCGAGAAGTCCTAAACTCAAGAACATTAAAACATATCAATCTTATGTCTGGAAATTTTATTGCCGTCAAAACAATTGAACCATTAATTGCTAATTAAATTCAATTACTTTCTGTTCATAACATTTAATTGTATTTCAATTACTAATTATTTCAAAATTTTGTTCAATTTATGCCTAAAATAAAAATTTGATTCAATTATAAAATACCAATATTTTTGTTAATCCTATTCGACGTCTCATTCATTCATTTAACTTAAATACCAATTCGTTTGAAATTATAACGAGTGTTGACTGTATTGTTAATAACGCGCGCAAAAAGTTTATGAAATTCACAAATATTTTCACAACAAATGCATACAAACTGTACTCTTATTATACGGACTGTTATATAGTTTTGTTATACAATTTGTGTTCACTTTTTGTAGAAAACATTCCAATAATTCAAACAGAAGTCTATATTCGAGACGTAATTAGTGTTGGAATTGAAAAGTGAATCAAAAAAGTGAATGAGATTTCAGTTATTGTTTGGGTTTTTAATCAATTCATTTGATCTCAAGTTATGGCACAACAAACGAAACGCAAGAAGACATCACTCGAGACCACAGATGACGGCAACGAAGACATCATTCAACAGGTATTTGATAAACAATTGACTGTATTTTGAGATGTAATTATGTTTATCATATATTTTAGCCACAAATCTATGCCAAAGACTCTTTGGATCGATTCGGTGATGACTTGTGTGCACTTCTATTGTCTTATCTCTTACTCGAAGATCGGTTTCGATTGGAATGTGTGTCCAAACAGTTCCAGAGGACAGTCTTCGTGAGTGCTGTTGACATCACTCTTAGCGACCGATTTATTCAGAGAATACTGACAAATGAGAAGACAATTGACACCAAAATGTTGGCCACAATTGCCATAAAGTGTCCGAAGATTGAGACCATTGACTGCCGAGGAATGCGTTCAAACATTGCATGCATTCCTAAAGCTATGAAAACATTTCGAGACAATTGTCATAATTTTCGAGATATTTACTGCAATTTATCGGGAATTAGTGGACAAACAATGCATACATTGTGGCCAATGATCACACGAATCGGTGGCAATACATACTATGTTGAGTACAGACAAGCGCTCACTCACTGCCACCGATTGTCTCATTTAATAGTCGATCGTTTATACGATATCTTTAAAGACACTTCCGGACCGCTATTGGCCAAGAATTTGCAGAAATGCCAATTGTATTACTGTTCAGACATATATAACCACCAATTATTGCAATCATTGTCTGCATTCGTGGCACACAATCAGTCCCTAAGAAGTCTTGACATAAAGTATATGGAATACAAGACCAACGAGTCTTTGATGGAAATGTGCGGACAATTGTCACGATTAACACAATTACAGGAATTGAGACTCGGATTGAATGTTATGAATGACGACAACTCTGTGCACGACTTCTTGCGCACAATTGGCGTGAATTGCGGACAATTGAAGCGATTATCACTCGTATTGTTCTCACGTCTAAACGAAACCAATGTTCAGACATTGGATTCGTTGCAATATTACAGACAATTAAAACGATTGGATTTGAGACTCAATGCGACCGCCGATGAGATATCATTGGATCCGTTGAGACACTGCCGACGGTTAACACATTTGGACATATATTTGAGAGGAATGAACGCAAATGTGTTGACAATTGTCGACAAAAGTTGTCCACAACTTCAATACCTATGCATTCATGAGACCTATTGTTTGCCACACATTCCAACACTAATATGTGTTCACTCACTTGTCATTGAAAGCCATCCCAAGACTCATCTCTCAGATAATGATTTCTGGGATCTGTTGTCTTCGAGTCCTAAACTCAAGACAATTGAAATCATTGAAAACAATACGAAAAAGTTTTATTCAAAGCAAAAATGATTTAAATAATTACTAGTCATTTAAATAATCAAATTAATTGTATTTTTGTCAATATTTTGAAGTTATTTTCAATTCATTACTTTCGTAACAATTAACACGTAAACTGAAAATGTGTCAAAATGTATGTTTTAATCCAATGTTTGATTATTTAAAATTTAATTATAAGTTCCCAATAATTATTATAATTTGCAATTAAACTCTAATTTCAGTTCATATTGTATTTCATTAGATATTTTCAATTCAATTCGTTTGTAATAAAACGTCAAACTTATTAACGTTTTTTTATTTAAAAACTACATTTAAATATAACTTTCATACAAATGTTTCGTACAATCACTTCATTAAATTCAATTTCTTTCTCTTATTAATATATAATTGTATTTCAATTACTAATTATTTCTAAATTTTGTTCCATTTATTTATAAAATAAATAATTTACTCAATTAAAAATCCCGATTTTGTTAATTTTATTCACCGTCTCATTCATTCATTTAACTTAACTACCAATTAGTCTGAAATAATAACGAGTGTTGACTGTATTTTTAATAACCCGACAAAAAGTTTATGAAATTCACAAATATTTTCACAACAAATGTATACAAAGTGTACTCTTATTATACGGACTGTTATATAGTTTTGTTATACAATTTGTGTTCACTTTTTGTAGAAAACATTCCAATAATTGAAACACAAGTCTATATTTGAGACGTAATTAGTGTTGGAATTGAAAACTGAATCAAAAAGTGATTGACTTTTGTCTCGGATTTGAAATTCAATTTTGAATCAAACGTTTCTTTCAATCATTCAATTGATCCCAAGATATGGAGCGAGAGTTGACACAAATGATGGCATCACTCGAGACCACAGATGGCTGTGAAGACAGACAACAGGTATTTGTTAAGTAATCGACTGTTTATTGAATTTTAATTATTTTTGTCTTACATTTAGCCGAAGATTTACGCGAAGAACTCAATGGACAGATTCGGTGATGATTTGTGTCAACTTCTGTTGTCTTACCTGTCATTTGAAGATCGGTTTCAATTAAAATGTGTGTCCAAACAGTTCCGGAGGACAGTCTTCGAGAGTGTTGTCAGCATTGAAATCAACGACCAATTTATGCAACAAATACTGAACACAACAATCACTGAAACGTTGGCCACAATTGCTATAAAGTGTCCGAACATTGAAACCATTGACTGCAGAGGAATAGACACTGAATACGAAACGCATATTTCCGAGCTTTTGGCTATATTTAGAGACAATTGTCTTAATTTGCGGAAAATTTACTGCAATTTATGGCAAAATAGCGGACAAACAATGCCTAGAATCGGACCACTGGTCACACGAATCAATGTTATGGACCATAATATCGACATTCAATCACTCACTCATTGCCACCGATTGTCTCATTTAATTGTCATTCATTTGAGTCAAGTCTTTGACACTTCCGGACAACTAATGGCAAAGAATTTGAATACACTTTTGCTATATTTCTATTCAGCCGATGATTACCACCGATTGTCTGCATTTGTGGCACACAATCAGTCTCTTAAAAGTCTTGTCGTTGTAAACGATATATCGCTATCTGATGAGAGACTGACAGCACTATCGGCACAATTGTCACGATTAACACAATTACGGCGATTGACGCTATGTTTGGAGATAACCGGCGATCAGCACTCATTGCACCACTTTTTGCGTACAATTGGTGTGAATTGCAAACAATTGCAACGATTGTCACTCCGATTCTCGCCTACGAGTGAAATCAATGCCAAAACATTGCAATCTATGGATTCGTTGCGATATTATCAGCGATTAAAACGCTTGCATTTAGCACTTTATGTGACCGCCGATGAGATATCGTTGGATCCGTTGAGACACTGCCGACGGTTAAGGTATTTGGAAATGCGTTTATCAGGAATTAACGCCAAACTGTTGTCAGATGTGGCCATCAATTGTCCAAAACTTCAATTTCTATCGATTACTAATTTGTGGAGTGTTTTGGACATCAATTGTTTGGATAACATCTCAAGACTACCGGCGCTGCAAACACTTGTCATTGATTTTCATAGCGATTATCACGGCTTCAAATACAATGGTTTCAGTGATCTGTTTGCTAGAAGTCCTAAACTCAAGACAATTAAAACAATTTGTTACGAATCCAATTTTTATTGCCGTAAAAGTGCTTTAAATGTTAATTAAATACAAACTCTTTCTCTTATTAACAATTAAATTATATTTAAATGTTTTTATATGTATTTAATTTTGTATTAAAATTGCATTAAATTGTAATGAAATAAAATATACAAAATAATTATTACAATTTTTGGCACAATATGTCTATATATTTGTCATCAAAAGTGATGTAATCTTTTGTATTAACTTTTTTGCCAAAACTTGGGATTAAATGAAGTGATTGTGCGAATGGTTTGATTTAAATTACATTTGAATATTGTTTTCAATTGAAAACAAATAATAAAAGTTCATAAGTTTAACGTTAGTAACAATTAGTCGGAAATAATAACGAGAGTTGACTGTATTATAAAAACCCGCAAACATTCAAAATTTTCACAACAAATGCATAGAAAGTGTACTCTTATTATACGGACTGTTATATAGTTTTGTTATACAATTTGTGTTCACTTTTTGTAGAAAACATTTCAATAATTCAAACAGAAGTCTATATTCGAGACGTAATTAGTGTTGGAATTGAAAA